AGAGGTAATCTTATTTCCCATAAGATGATCCACACAGGGGAGAAGCCATACAAATGCATAGAGTGTGGAAAGAACTTTGCTTACAGGAGTGGACTTACTATCCACAAAAGGATCCATACAGGGGAGAAGCCATATCAATGCATGGCGTGTGGAAAGGCCTTTGCTCAAAGAGGCCATCTTATGCGCCATAAGATGATCCACACAGGGGAGAAGCCATATAAATGCAAAGAGTATGGAAAGACCTTTGCTTACAGTAGTGGACTTACTATTCACAAAATGATCCATGCTGGGGAAAAGCGATATAAATGCATGGAGTGTGGAAAGACCTTTGCTCAGAGTAGTGGACTTAGTTGCCACAAGCAGATCCACATGGAGGATAAGCTGTATAGATGCATGGAATGTGGAAAGACTTTTGCAAATAGCAGTTACCTAAGAATACACAAAAGGATCCACGCAGGGGGAAAGCAATTTAAACACACGGAATGTGGGAAGTCCTTAGCTCATAGCAATGATCTAAGAATACACAAAAAGATCCACACAGGAGAGAAAGCATATAAATTCATGGAGTGTGATAATACCTTTGCTTACAGTAGTGGACTTACTATCCACAAAAGGATCCACACATGGGAGAAGCCGTATAAATGCATGGAGTGTGGAAAGACCTTTGCTTACAGTAGTGGACTTAATATCCACAAAAGGATCCATACAGGGGAGAAGCCATATAAATGCAAAGAGTGTGGAAAGACCTTTGGTTACAGTAGTGGACTTACTATCCACAAAAGGATTCACACGGGGGAAAAGCCATTTCAATGCATGGAGTGTGGAAAGACTTTTGCTCAAAAAGGCCATCTTATTCGCCATAAGGTGATCCACAAAGGGGAGAAGCCATATAAATGCAAGGAGTGTGGAAAGACCTTTGGTTACAGTAGTGGACTTACTGTCCACAAAAGGATCCACACAGGGGAGAAGCGATATAAATGCATGGAGTGTGGAAAGACATTTTCTCAGAGAAGTGGACTTAATTACCACAATAAGATCCACACAGGGGAGAAGCCATATAAATGCATGGAGTGTGGAAAGACCTTTGCTCGGAGCAGTGGACTTAGTTGGCACAACAAGATCCACATGGGGGAGAAGCCATATAAATGCATGGAGTGTGGAAAGACCTTTGCTCAAATTGCCCATCTTAATTCCCATAAGATGATCCACACAGGGGAGAAGCCATATAAATGCATGGAGTGTGGAAAGACCTTTGCTCGAAGATATCATCTTAATTGCCATAAGATGAGCCACACAGGGGAGAAACCATATAAATGCATGAATTGTGGAAAGTCATATGCTCGAAAGTATGGTCTTACTTGCCATAACAAAATCCACACCGGAGAGAAGCCATATAAATGCATGCAGTGTGGGAAGACGTTTGCTCAGAATTCTAGTCTTATTTCCCATAAGATGATCCACACAGGGGAAAAACCATATAAATGCATGAATTGTGGAAAGACATTTGCTCGGAAGTATGGTCTTACTTGCCATAACAAAATCCACACTCTGGAGAAGCCATATAAATGCATGGAGTGTGGGAAGACCTTTGCTCTGAATGGTAGACTTACTTCTCATAAAAGAATCCACACTCGGGAGAAACTATGCAGCAATAG